AGTTTCATCTATGATAGATGGTAATTCAGCCTCGTCGTCGTCGTCGGACAGTCTCAAACGCATACTGTCATCTGATAATGCATCTTCCTCATCGCCATCATCACCTGCTCCATATAATAGTTCGTCTTCCTTTTCTTTCGATAAGTCATCAAGATGAGTAGCGATACAAGACAATGAATGCATAGAATCAGGAGTATGTACTGTCTCATTTCTTAAAGCCTCCATTATAGAAGAGATGAGATATATAAGACGATGTCACAGGTCATCCATTTATCTCCAAAATTTACAATTCTTTGATCTGTAATTGATTATTGTGTTTGTTACATCAATTTCAAATGTAAAATAATTATTTTATGTGTATATAAATATATTTTATTATACATATAATAAACATTTTCATAACAGGTATCTTTATGTATACAATCTTTTTATTAACAAAAGTAAATTCAAATTCATTGTAAGTATAAGTAATAGAATATATAATACTGTATTCTTCAAAACTGTATGTAATGTTATATATATTTGATTATAAAGAATGAAATAGAAAGAATCTTTATCGACTGTTCAGTTTTATTTTCTGAGTTTATTAATGATCATAAATTCACAAATAGTACAATGTTACATGCTGTAGATATTCCATCGTATAATGAATAACATTTAACAAGTTAAACAAGTTGAATTTAGAGCGTATACAAAAGACAAATCGAGTAATGAGTCCTGCATAAATTCAAATAATAATCACTGAAAGGTGGTCATTCTCATTAAAAGAGTAGATTTTCATAACAGAAATTCACTTTTTTTTTTTCAAAATCAATGTTCCTCCACAGGATGTCAATACTTCACTAGCACGCATAACTCGTGCGCGAAATGATTAAGTAACATTAACCGCGCGAAGCTTCTCGCAATACGTCTGGTACACAAAACTAATTTTTCCGAATACAATCGAAGATAATACAATATGGGCCCCTTGATGACGCGCTAACATGTGTCGTCCCTGGCCCATAAGTACTCAACTAACAAAAATGGCGGATTGATGCTGTATCGCGAACGACTGTTATTGCTTTTCACGTAATAAACGTATCATACAATCGAAATAAGATGTATTATAAACATTCGAAAGTCATAGAGATGAAATGTTAGGTTCGTGTTCGTAATGCATCGAGACAATTATTAATCCAAATAACAAACAAATTCATACGTTCGGCGTCACCAACAAAGTTTCAATTTTAATAATACAATAAGTAAATATACACGACACAAATATTTACAATAGATAATCACGTCAAAGTACTGTTAAATTAATGTAATTTAACCTACGAGAGTTTAGGTTCGGAAAGACGGGATTCCCGATAAACTTGCTATTGAACGAATACTGCTGAACATAGGTCCCGACATGCGTCCGCACGAAAGTCAACGATTGTACACGATGTCGTCCAATATGGCGTCGTAATTTGCCCCCTGTGAAACTAATTTCTAATATAAAATAATACAGACGAAACTTTAGAAACAAGGCTTCAAATGTTAAGAACATTTAAATAAACAAGAAAGTTTTACATGAAAATTTTGCCCTTAAAAATCTAAACTGTGTAGCACCGAGCATTAACAAACAATGTTGTGCTTACAAAAGTACAATTCCCCCACTCCTTTCACGTGTTTAAGCTACTTAACGTTACTTAATGATTTACAGTATTAACATTAGTTTTAGTTTCGAACAAATCGATCGGTTTAGATACTTTTGTTGTTACAATCATGCTAATGACTTATATTTGCAAATTTAACAAATTTAATTAACCTCAAATAAAAGTAGTGTATGTATATGTAAAAGTAATGTACTTCTTGTTTCACGATGTAAGTATATGTATACATTTATAGAGCTGTTATCGATCAGTTTCTGCCATTAATTAACTAATTAAATACTAATATTATATTTGTAGACGAGATACATATAAAATATAGAAATAAGTGTTTGTAGATAGTATTTTGTAATTTGCAAGTACTCTTATATTGAACGTTTGATAAGTAGCCCCACCCCTTCCATTTTCTGCGCCTACTGACGAGGTCAACATGCGTCACACTGGTAATACAACGCTATGCTTACTGAGTGGGAGGGAGAAACTGTAATACTTTTATAACTCATTGGAATGGTAAATTTTACAGATATGTGTAGAATGTACTTAGTAAACTGTTTTGTAATGTTTACACACGAAAATGTAACTTGTTCTTATATAACGATGTAACTCAAATATTTGATATATTTAGGTTAGTGACATTATGATTTATGCATTAATGATATTGTTATCTATACTTTTTAGAGATAAAATAAGGTAGTTGTAATCGAAATAGAACATGAAAGACGTTGTAATTTCTTTCCAAATTTGTGTTATTTTTTCCTTTTTCATTTTTCTTTTTTTTTTTTATTACATTACATTGCACGGAATTCATAAAGAAATACCTAATTACGTAGTAATTATGGATTTGCTTATGTTTTATAAGCTGTATATTACAGTAACCGAGTGTTCTTTTATTAGTGTTTTACTTATACGTGTCACATTCTACGCATGCGCACAAGAGTATAGCGTGTGTATCACTAACAAACTTTCGATCAAAACAAAATGTTATAACAAAATAATTCATAAAATATATTATTACGATTGAGAGATACGGTAATATGTATAAAAGAATGATTAATATTTAGCAATTGGTCGAGTTGCAACTAACCGGAAGCTGCTCATTTATAACCAACAATTCTGTGTCCTTGAAATATTTTGACTAATAAAATACAGCGTGAAATCAATGATCAATATGAAGCGGAACATACATGGTAAATCGCTCAATTCGGATCTCCGGTAATGCATCATTGAACGAGTACTATATCTCTTCGATCGATTACCTAAATATTAGACATTTTGTAAGCTCATCGAGAAAAAGAGCTATTTTGCATTTTTAACAAGAATTTCAATTCAATTTTCATAGTGGATGTCATATCACATGATGATAATATCAATCTCGGATATTGATTTCACGCGTTACAAACAATACACGCGAATAGGATTAATTTTTCTTTGGACTATTCCAAAAATTTGATTACACGTTAAATATTTCGTAAATATTCGAATTTTTACGAGTACCGAAATGCCATAACACGTTATACGTACAATTTTCTCTACAAATATGATATTTTTCGTATTGACGTTAAATTTCATTATATACCACTATTGAAAGGTTATGTATTCGATTACAAGCACGTAAGAAAGCCAACTTTCATTTTGTATGAGAGGACAACAAAATGGCGTACGTATGCTATATAAAATGGCAGCTTTTCATATATAGCATGACATCTGCAATGGCCTCGATCGTTACATTTGGGACTTCATGCTCAGACCCAAATCTGTATACATCATGTAAATAGTATTAAGCATATTATCGAATAATGTTCGCTAATGTTTGACGAGCCAAAGTGAAACGTACCAAACTTAACGATACGTTTGGTTCGTTGAACCTATTAAGATGTTGAATTTTCGAGTAAATTTTTAAAAAATTTACATTAAAATCTTTCAACGTCAGATATTCACGTGATTCCGAGTAAATGTGTGTAACGATTTGGATCGCATAACGATTTAGAACAGAAAAATAGTGTGACCCACTGCTGAACTGTGACATGTAAGTATGTACACAATTGATGAACTTACGTTATGTTATAATGCAGATGATCTTCAATCAGTGATGCACATGTTCTTTGTCTTACAAAATTACGTTATATTTACGATAAATGCCAGAAACGAAGATACACTGTGATACCCGTGCATCGAGTATCTGCAACACCGCAACCTAAACAAGCGAAAAGCAACGTTGCCACTTTTCTTCGTAACCGTTTGCATGTGCTGTCCATTCGTAAAGGGTTAAAATTTGAATCGAACTGATCGTACTTTTGTATACATTTTGTACTCGGAACGTGTATGAAATTCTAAACTTTTTAAAATTGAATATTATTGGAAAAATTTACAAGAATTATCGACCTACATATATAGCGTGGTCTGTACCTCAGAAAATTTCAGCAACGCATGCGCTGTGACGCAAAATACTTTCGGAACTTATAATATTATAAGCGAAGTATGCAAAATACTTTCGTTTAGAAACCAAAATACACTTTTAAAAGCATACGTAGGTACTCGAAGTCAATAATAATTAAACGAGAACGATATGTTTATTATACGTTTAAATATACATATATATATATATTTTTTTTTTATTTTTGGTTTCGTATGAATAGTGACTATACCTTCGAGTACTTTCCGAAGAATTCTATAAAACTTAGTATTTATTACAAAAGCGTATATTAAGATTAGAAATATTGCTGGAATGTACAATTAAAATAACTATCTCTATATAATAATCGTATGCAGGAATAGTTTTTAAACATTTTTCATGTTCGTATAAAAACTGAAAAAATAATTTCAAAAGTACTATTTTGTGTTACTTCGAAGATTATAAAGAACTAAAAATGATACAAATACGTAACAAGATTACTATTATGATATCTATACGTATAGTCATTGGAAATAGGCATCTTCGATTTGGCAACATCGATTGTTATTGTTTAAATCAACATAATTGTTCGAAATGATACATGAATTGTAACTTATCGATGACACCGATCCAATGATAATGTTTTCTAACACAAGAGCACACAGGAGTATTCTTGAGTATTCTGTCAAGAAAGATAAGTCCTTGTAGAGGGCGACACTTCCGATATTTTGTTTACCTCTGAATTCCTTTGAATGTTCGTATTATTAATTATTCAGAAATGGTATGAAACATCGCAAAAATATGTAAGGTTTTAGTAACCTATTGGCGATTGGATTTTTGTAGTAACAACAACCTTGATTTTTAGAAAACAAGGTTGCTGTTAAATAAAAAATGAAATGATCTACAGAGTTTGTATTTCAATTTTCATATTCAAAATACATCATTCGTAATTAATTATCAAGAAACACCTGTGTTGTAATCGTTCACACACATATAGTTATAACTTATAACTGTGGGAAGTTTCTATCTTGAGGATCAGCCTTACAAAAATGTTCGTATCAACGAATCCGTAGTTTCGGTAAACGTGAACTTGATATACATTAATTATTAACACATAATATTTATACACGAGTTACATATTATATCCATTTTCTTAACTAATTATCCATTTTACTAATTGCCACGATCCAATAAACTCAATATAAAAATATCCGAGAAGACGATAAAAGATGCTGTAACTTTTCTCGTTGTTTTAACTGTAATACGTCACGAATGAAATAGATATTTATTCTGTAATAATTTCGATCGACAATTTGTGCTCATGTAAAGACGGTATAATGCATCGATAGAATACACCTGAATACACTCTGGAAGAATGGTGGAAGCAAGTACGATTCTGAAGATATGCAAAGAAGAAAATATTTGTTTGCTATTCGAGAATAGTTAAACGGTCAATCAGATTCTAGTAAACGAGTAACGAGCGATTAGATTCGATAGAAAATACATCGGTTCCATTGAAATCTAATACGCCCGCATGCGTATTAATTACTTCTTTTCGCGAACTCGATCGAAATACATTATCCGACGGGAGAGCACTCTTTGGGCTCCAGAGGAAAGAAAAGTTGTTGTAATGGCTGCCGTGTCATGAAATGAAGGTACCGAGCCAGTTTTGTGGTTCCACGATGGAGGATAACTCCAGTTCTACATCTCAAAATCACAATGGACAATTATCTAGTGGTGCAAATGTTTCACTGACAAACAATAAACATCAGGGCAGTGACAATGGTAGCAATGGCGATGCCAAGGATCAAAAGCCACAATACTCTATGCCTAGCATTTTACACTTTATTCAGCATGAATGGACTCGCTTCGAACTTGAAAGATCGCAATGGGAACTTGACAGAGCAGAATTCCAGGTATAACTACGATTTATTTTGGAAATTTACGAAATTCATGTGCCCGCTTTTCCTTAATGCACCTCCTTCTTATTGTCACTTCAACTGTCATGTGACAGGAGATTGTAAAATCGCAACTTATTTTAATGGGTGTAAAATATTGTAATAGCGCGTGTAAACTTCAATAAAATGAGTACTACAGATCTGGAACTTAAACTAAAATGTATTTTACAGGAACATCTCTGTTCATTATTACGATGTATCCATTTAATGTTTGCATGACAAATGTTATCATATTGTTACATTAAAAATTGTATTTCCATCAAGATTAGTAGTAATATCTATGTACAACGTAGTTATCAATTTATATGCATTGTACAATTAACTTGTATAGTAATAAAATTTAATGTAGCTATTAATAGTTTATGTGACAGTATAATTGTTCGTGAACAAAGCTTTGCTTTATTGTGCACAAACCGGTTAATACAATTGGTGGATGATATTAATTGTTGATATTTGTACCTTATATTCATGTAAAAACCATTTTGTGAAACGAGCTCAAAGAGAATAATTGTTTTTATAAATGTATCTAAACATAAATTGGATTACAAGTATTTAATCAAGTATAATATTGGATTATAAGTATCAATACTAGCATAAAACTTAAATATATTAAGTATTTACTTACAGGCTAGGATAGCTTTTTTACAAGGTGAAAGAAAAGGTCAGGAAAAGTTAAAAAATGATCTAGTAAGAAGAATAAAAATGTTAGAATATGCGCTCAAACAAGAACGGTAAGTGCTGCTCCAATAATATATGGTTATATTTTATACAGAGGTGCATATAATATATTTGTCATTTTTACAGAGCAAGGTACCACAAACTGAAATATGGCACTGATTTAGTAATTCAAGGAGATGTAAAGCCTCCTGTTCAAGATGAAGGTAGTAGTACTTGCGCTTACTCTGAAGTTGGAGGAGGTGGCGACGGGGAAACACCCTTTACTTCGGTCAATAATATCAGTTGGAGACAAGGTCGTCAACTTTTGAGACAGTAAGCAAAACTCGATATCCACAAATATCTATTTCTATACAATAATGTCGATTGTTGTTAATGCATATCTATAATTCTTATTTTTAGATATTTACAAGAAATTGGTTACACAGATACAATAATAGATGTACGTTCAAACAGAGTGAGATCTTTACTTGGTTTAAATAATAATACAGATTCGGAAGACATGAATACTCCTGCATTAAATGGCAATGAACCATCAAATAAACAAGTAAAGGAGAACTATGTCTGCAGAGTTTCAGAAAAAAAGGTAGATGTAAATAAGTTTTTTCGCGATTAATTATTTTATACTTTTAGTTAAATTAGAAATTCATTTGACAGTTTAATTTATTTTAGTATTAAATATAAATACTTTCAATGTTGATTAAATTTAATGATAATGTAATCACAGTCGTGAATATAGCTACGTATGTTTATGCTAGCAGAACCCGTCTTCTATAGCAGAAGCAATGATACTAGATACAGAAGCAGCTGTTTTGGCAAATTTTGAATTTCTGGCTCAAACAGATATGGATATGGAAGAAGAAGAAGGAGACGTAGAAGATGATACCTTTGATTCAAACATGGATCCTAAACCAAATAAAGTAATGAATATTTTTATAATTCTATTATATAGTATTATATACAAATAGATATTTTCTTCGGTAATTGTATCATTTATAAAATATAATATCTTTTTTAGACAATACTTCGAACAGAGGATGTTGATGCAGAGGCAGAAGAAGTTTTAAATGAACTAAATCTTCTCACAGAAATCGAAGAATCACCACCAGGTTCCGTTCATTTGGATATATATTCGACCGATTGTAGTTAGTATCGACTTCTCCCATCATTCCATTAAAAGACTCTTACCGAGTAAGAGTTGTAGTAGTATAAAAACAAATAACGATCAATTTGCAGACGCATTACATTTACGATCAGATCCAAGGTGTCCGAATAAAGAAGGTGATTCCACATTAGAATTGGGTGAATTAGAACTATTGTGCGTTAACAATGAAGCGGAGACCTCATACGATGTGAGTTACATTGGTTATGCTATTGTTACGTAAATGTACGCGATATATCATGTTGTCATCTTTTTTAAAACAAATAATAAGAATAGATATATATTGATGTAGATGGTAGCCACTACAAAGGAGACCTTCAGAAAAACATGGAATGTAAAATATACGTTACGATCTCATTTTGACGCTGTTCGAGCTCTCGTCTTCCACCCCACAGAAGCTGTTCTTATAACCGCGAGCGATGATCATACACTCAAACTGTGGAATCTCCATAAAACTTTACCAGCAAAGAAGTAGGCCGTTTAAATTTCGATAAACTTCCGACTCCTTCTTTCGTTTAACGTTAAGAAAGTCTCTGTATCGTATTCTTTTGATTGCAGATCAGCTTCGTTAGATGTAGAACCATTATATACATTCAGATCGCATACTGGTCCTGTTCTATGTTTAGCTATGTGTAGCACAGGGAATCAATGTTACAGCGGTGGTTTAGATGGTATGATTCATTGTTGGACACTCCCATCGGCTAACATTGATCCCTATGATTCCTATGAACCAAGTGTCCTTAGCCAAACATTAAAGGGACACACAAATGCAGTGTGGGGCTTGAGCATGTATCAACCGCGATCGCAATTGTTATCGATCAGTGCCGATGGAACTGTTAAATTATGGAGCCCCCAAAGCAAATCTCCGCTACTTCATACATACGTTTCCGAACAAGGTGTGATATTTCTATTGCCATTCAAAAATTACTATTCTAATAAAAGTTAAATGTCATTTTACAAAATTACGTATATATATCTTTTTTTTCTTTCAATCTCTTTGCAGACGGCATACCAACATCGGTAGACTTCATAAGAGATGATCCACATAAATTAGTCGTAGCTTATGAAGGAGCTTGCGTGGTATTTGATACGGAAACTGGTGAGAATATAGCTCGTCTGGAAGCTAACGAGACAAAGGGAGTGAATCGTGTCGTGACACATCCAACATTACCGCTAGTTGTCGCGGCACACGAAGACCGACATATTCGATTTTATGATCATCGATCGGCTACTCTTGCTCATGCCATGGTTGCTCATTTAGATGCAGTTACTAGTCTTGCTGTTGATCCCCATGGTTTATATCTACTTTCAGGAAGTGAGTAACGATAAACTATACATATAAGAAAATGGTGATCGAATATTGATGCATCGCGGATTATAACATTGATAATAATTTCGTTTCAAGGTCACGATTGCAGTATAAGATTATGGAATATGGATAATAAAACTTGTGTTCAAGAGATAACGGCACATCGTAAAAAGTTTGACGAAAGTATTTTAGACGTAGCATTTCATCCATCGCGACCTTTTATAGCAAGCGCAGGGGCTGACGCTCTTGCCAAAGTGTATGTGTGAGATGTAAATTAAGGTACACATTTCTACTATCGACATGCATCAAGACGGAACACATTTTGTACTCATTCTTTCTAGATAGTTTTACCTGTACGTGTTACACTTCCAATTTTGTTGTAACTTATATTGCTCTACCTTTGAAGTACCACTTTAAAAAAAAATCAAATCTGACGTATATATATATATATATATATATATGTATATCCATGTTATAATACTGAAATTTGCACATAACCCGTGTCCGCGACAACTTATCAAAAACCGTAATTTCGAATACAAACGCTGCTTATCAATGAGATCTTTATTAAGTAGCTATATTATTTGGGATACCGGAAGGGGTGTGTCTTGTAGAATACTAGTTGACATAGTTCTGATAATTAGACGAAGAAATACCCCTTACCCATAATCCAGGAAGCACACTGCCGCAGTAGCATAATATTTATCCCTATGTTAACTATTTATTACCAATATTACAGTTACTGTTGCACAGCTACTGGAGATTAATACGTACTATTCAAGGATAAATTTTTCCTAATAAAAATACATCAATTAGTCTCCCATTATATAATTTGTATGCTACCTTATATATTTATCGAGGTTAGCATATAGTAACAACAGGATCAGAAGCAACAACAATAATAATAATTATAACCATAAGTTAATTATACTGTAAGAGATATAATATTAATAACAGTAAATTATAACTGTGTGTTTCTCTGTAATATATTGTATTTAAAAATAGATGAACTGTGTAACGTACTATAATTAACATGTTTTTATTAAAATTTAATTCCATTTCTATTATTTTATTTTTTTGTTTTACCTCAAACAGATATAAGTAACTAAAGCTATGCTTACGCGAACAAGAATAACGATTTAAAATATTTATGAAATAATTAAATTTACGAACAATGGTAAAGATTAATATATTCTACACGCGTTATGTAATAACATAATGAAGAAAGCGATCTTCTATTCTTATCGCAGTAGTAAGTTGAATACACGTATAAAGGCATGTGCGATATAATATGTATACAAATTTTACATTATGTTATTTCATTTACATTTGTTCTATAATTTCTATCAAACATGATATTTCTTTTGTTTAAAATCGACGTTATTCTTTTGTGTAACGCCCTTTAACTGTCCAATCAGAACGAGGCGATGGTATCACTCGGGTCAAAGCCTATATAAATTGTTATCACGTTGATCAGCTGAGCAGACATTTGTAGTAATTTGTAGTGCAAGTGTGACTTGTGACACAAGTTATTTGTCGTGAATAAACTTGTAAAATTGTATAATATGATTATTAGAAAAAATATACATTGAAGAAAAATGCATGTCTTTCAATTATTTCAAATGTGATTGCATTTAGAAAGTTATCGGAATGTATTAATCAGATTGTAGTTCAAGCGCGATGATTGATAATAGAATTTTTTTATATTTTAAGAATGTACGTAACATATTTTTATACAAAATAGTCTCGGTAACTATTATTATTAACGTGTAGTGACGAATTCTCTTGTGTGTCCGAATAGGTTATGCGATTATGTCGCTTGAATTGTATCTAAATTTCTGTTCCGCAAATATCAAAGAGTGGTATATTTATTGCGCTTCGTAAGCGCCGATAGTATTTCGGAAATTAAGAATGGAACGAAATGGCGCGAGGGAAATGGAAGAACGAATGTGTATAAGAGATACTGGCAGAACATTAAAAAAGTATGGCAGTACAGCCAAACATATTACACGACCTGAAAATTTAATAAAACACACGGTATCAACAACTGATACACTTCAAGGAATTGCTCTAAAATATGGAGTTACAGTACGAATTCGTTATTTTGTTCTACTTGTTGCTCTTTGACAGATTAAAAGCAATGGTAACAGCTATGGCAAATACCTATATGTTTCTTTTATTTCTTGTTCTTATAGACCGAACAAATAAGAAGGGTCAATAGATTATGGGCTTCTGATAGTTTATTCTTAAGGGAACACTTACTTATCCCTGTTAATCCAGAGAGCCCTTTGTCCTTACCTACCGACAATACAAATGAAACTGAACATAACGAAGTTCAAACTGTAATTATCTTTTTATATAAACTGGCACTGTATGGTTAATTTATATTATATAAATCTAAAATATATTTTCAGGTTTCTAGTCCATCTTCGATCACATCATCTATAGATGATGACAGTTCAGTTAATGATTTTTTAGCTAAAATGGATTCTTCTATAGCTAGTGCAAAAAGGGAAGTTAAACGAACTCAGGGGAATAGTGAGTAAGTCGTTTATCATTAATTAATAAATATTGAATATAAACGATTGTTGCTTTTGTATTGTAAAATTGATGGTTTTTCGTTTTTTTTGTAATTTAGATTTTGCATCGAGGGTAACGATGCCTATGTACAGCGGCATAGAGTGTCTACTAACCTACGTAACTCCTTTCCTATGGCATCAAATACACATGCGATATCATCCACTTTAGAGCCATTAAGACCATCGTCTTCTAGTGATATGCATAACTTTCCAACTGCTGTAGTTATGACTCAGGGTAGAAAAGTGAAGACATCTTTACAAAGACTTCAACAACAACAAGATGAAATATTTCAGTTGTAGCAACTAAATATTATTGGACTGTAACATGTTCAAAATTATCCAGTGTCATTAAAGAGCTTGAAGAAAAAAATATATTGGATACTGAATAATACATTTGAAATAATAGAAGATTATTTCATATTTAAAAATTGGTTGATCCGGTATTAATGTAAGTTGTACTCATTCTTTCTTATAAAGTCTCTATGATATTTTGATTATTTTCTTATCGGAAATGATTGTAAAAATAATGCCAGCCAATTATATTCTTGTAGTCTCAGTACTACCAACAATGGATCAACTAGCTTTCATATTGTCCAAGCATATTTTCGAAATATTTTCAATAATATTTCTTAGTGGACCATATGTGCCTTTAATCCAAATCAATTGTGCAATAATTCTGTCATTGTCCTTCAAGATTTTTTATGTTACGTATAAAATGTCGTTTTTGCATGATATGTAAAAGTTAAATTGTTTTCGTATTAACTCCGCGGGCAATGGCACATACAATCACGATTAAAACTTCTGTAATACAAAAAAAAAAGAGTTAAGTTAATTCAAACTTTTCTTATGACTAGTTATATTACGTATTTGCATGACAAATTGCTACTAGAAATTACGGTTCATTACATTAATTGCAATTTAATGTTAATACTCTATAGTAAAAGTCTATTTTCTCTTGTCTTCCTAGTAGAATGCTCACGATATTATTTTTTTAAATAATTTATTTCGTTCATAAGGAATTAAATACTAATTTAGACAGATCCATGCAACTTGAATGACAAACCACTCGTTCGTGTTAGTAAAATATGACATTCAAATTCGTCCATTCAAGTCTTTATAAAATTTCAAACGTTTATACAATTTTTCAACGAAAAATAACTATCTGTATGAAATTAGAATTTTAAATAGTATTGCAATTAATAATGTATTCATTAAAATCAATATTTAATTCCAGTCACAAACAATTCCAGTAAACAACTCTTTATGTTAGTTTAATAAAAATATTGATTTAAGTTTCAGAAATAAATAATGAATTTATATATAAATAATGAAAATTATTTGTAATTATTTTGGGGGTAATAAAAATTTACTATTAATGTGGTTATTAAAAATTGTATGCAAGAAAAGATAGTACCTGGTAATGTTGTCTATACATAGTACTTTTACATTCTTATATTAATGTTACTTACAGATATGATCCATTATCTGGTCTATTACTGTTATATTGCTTATATTATATTAGGCATAATGTACTCGTGTACTATATGAAAGCAACTATAGCCTACTACAATAAAATATTGAAAGAATAAGTTCTGTTAACAAATCGTGATTTATTTTATAACATAATAAAATAAATAGAAAAGAAATATATATTCGAAAGTTTATATTAGACAAATGCAAAACAATCTAACTTATTTTTTCACTTTGTTATGAATTCATAACGATTAATTAAAATCATTTTTAATGCTGTGCATTAATTATTAATTGTAAGTACATTAAGTAGGAAACATTTCGTGTATATTATATAGTTTACGAATTGTACTATAGTTTGAAGCAGTAATTGTGGTGCATATGAAATGAATACAGTCAATTTTTATATTCATTTGCATAGTATATACATATATACATTAAATAACCATTTATGTTAAAATGCATACATGTAGAATAAATATTATTGGTTGATAAAAAGTGATACATATATCGCGACATGTGATAGAGAACATGTAAAATTGTATATAAATTATACAAATTACTAATGTTCTATATGCTCAAGGAAGGATTTGATTTACTATGCATGATTATTGATTGTTAAAATAGGTGCTTGTAAATTATGAACACTGTTATATTAATTTAACAAATTTTACATATAAGTAGCTCCAATGCCTGTAAATGAATGCATAAAAATATGACATTCTAAATAATATAAATTAAAATTGGCAAATATATATTAATTTATTATTTCTGTTTAATACTATATAAGAGCAATAAATTTAATGGTCACAAAATGAATTATGATGTTCTGTTACAAAAGTTTGTTTGAAAACACTAGTTTATGTTGTACATTGGTTGGTTGCAACACTTAGTAAACTATTTAGAAATTTTATAGTTACCATGTAATTAAAATACTTCATTCAGTATTGAATAAAATATCTACTTTGCTATTAGTTATCCTAATAGGTGGTGTTATATATTTACCACAATCACATTTTGTCTCATTTACAAAGTTAAATGAACCTATGCGATTATTACAACATGGACAGTATAGCCTACCCTTTGTCCAAGATTCCTGTAACAAATATATATTGACTTGTATACATTTTGCTTCAAGAGCTTTATAATGAACATGCATTATATATTGTCATTGAAATTAAATTAAATTTTTTTGGATAAAATTGTATATTTTTCATGTAATGAAAACTTTACTTGATTTATTTTGTATTCAATCCATTCAGGCATATCTTCCATTGACACATACGAACAAGATTCCGAATTGTTTGCTGTACATCCTAAATCCATCTGATTCTTTTTTATTTCACTATGACAAGTTAATAATTGTATCGATTCCTTATTAAAAAGATTCTTTCTACAATGCCTACACTTCACATCCATAACCTACGAAGTTTCATAAAATAATCGCAAATATATAAATATATGTGTATCTCGTAGAAAAATCTTTTCAATTCTTTTGATGACTGATAACATTGATACAATTTTAGAGGTTATGAAACAGGGGCGAACTGCAAAGAAACAAACTTTAAACTTATAAGTACGACAAAGCAAACACGTATGTCCGTACAAAAATGATACGAGTATAATGGATTACACGTTAAAGATTAACGTGTAGATGCCATTAACATTATTTAATAAAATGTAACACAATATACATTTTTTATTGTAAATTATTTTTTATTTAGTAAAGAAACTAAGAAATGAGAATTCATGAGCTATAAATAAGTATATATATTATGTATATATATAAACACCACAAAATTCACCTACATAATGCTAGCTTTGTTTACTATACATAACGAAAGAATATAAATTTTTTATAAAGTATTATGCATATTCTATAACATAAATTGTTTTCATCCATAAAAGCTAGAGTCATAGGTTGGCTTCAATTATTTGTTCCTCCAATAACATAAAATTATCTAATCTTCACCCGCTGGAATGGCATCCTCTAACCTTTTAATAAATTTAACACGTAATTCATTTACATTATCATTCTTAAGCTGATCTTGTATAAACCAACAGGCAATCTCCATCTGCACCATTTCACAAGCTCCCCTAAGTATTCCAATTAATATATTACAATACTTTAGATTTAAACAGTGATCTGGTAATTCTACAAATTCGGTTAACGGATTTGCTTCAAAGCATAAAGAAAACTCATCCCCAGCAGCGCTCCAATTTGCAATCGTCGGTGTTATACCCAAGAATATCTTGAAGCCAGTCTGTATCTTTTCTGCTGTGTCTCTAAAGTCATAACAACGACCAGATCCAGTACGTGCTAGGAAATCTTCTATTAGACGAATTCCCATATTGTAACCCATTCTTTCTAATTGCTTATTCACATCCTCAACATTTTCGTAATCTTTTAGCAATTGAGCCACCAATGCACCATACGTCAACGTAAACAATTCAGAGTTCTGAAAATAAAATAAATATCAATGTTAAACTCTCTACATAACCTTACTTACGATTGAATTCATATTTCTCGTTATTTATCTAATAATATAACGAAACGTAGTAACGTAAGATCCGACTATTTTTCAAATTAAAGTAATGTACATTAACGATGTACTAACAACTTTCTTCGAGTCGAGTTTCGTGCCTGCTCGTGACATGTTTACATACGGTATATGGTTCATATACTGTACGAATGAGAGCACAGTATACCACTGGACAACTGCAATATTTTTCATTTAATCGATCTATTGACATTCTAATTAAATATAATTATAAATACATATTTTTCTATCTTACCGTTTCAATCTTTCCGTATAATATTAATATAATGCGCATAATAATGTATTAACTTTTTGCAAAACGGATCATTTTTAATAGAAACGTTAGAAAAAAACTCGTGAAAATTATTTTAAATAACATATAAATTTTACTTTAATTTAACGATTTTTGCATATGCATTAATAAAAGAAATTTATATCAATTTATGGTAGTAGGTTTATAAAATTGTAAGTGTCCTTTCAAGTGTAATCATACACTGCCTGCAAAAAATTAAAAATAGTTTTTATGTAATTTGAAAGAAACGTTATGCATAATAAAAATGAAAAACAAATATAAATTCAGAATTTGTAAATTTCAATCATACATATACGTTATAGTCATAACATTTATGTAAACATTATTTATTATAAAATGTATCAAGTTTGTAATTTTCACAATACTTATAATATTTTGTTCGTAATATAGCTTATATATATAAATTCTACATGTTTGTATACAATTCCTGTTAAAACTGAAAACATAACCTAGGACGGAGTGCCCAAACTGATTTTAGGGTAATTATATAAAATGTACACATTAGTTTTTCTGTTTAAGTGAGTATTTAGAAATCTTCCATAGCTGCTATAATGTTATATAATGCTGTCCTTGCATCACTTTTTTCAAATACACTTAAAACTTCCATTGCTCGTTGAGAGTGTCCTTTTTGTAGTTGTTTTGTTAATTCAACTCCAGGTCCCGTTGTAACAATTTTGTGAACCTATGTATTAAATATGCAGAATAGAAGATTTTATTAAGTAAGAATATACGGTATAAATATTAATATTTACCTTAGCATAATCTACATTGTTTACAGACTGTAATCCTTTATCGATTTCTGTCAAAATCGATGGATCGTGTTCAATGTGAAACATAATTGGTGCAGAACACAAATTGAACATTGTGGTCTGATCTTTTACAATAAATGGACCTAGGTCTAAACAAGCTTGCCAAGCCAATGCTAAATGTTTCCCAAAGTTATAACCTTGCTCTTGTATTTCATTACTGTGTCCAGCTAATTTCAATGTACCTTTACAGGACTTTCCAAGTAAAGCACCAGCACTCAATACATTTCTAAGAGTCCATTCTTTTACTGCGTAATCT